GGCGGGGGTGGGGGGAAAGGTCCTAGAATGGATAAGGAACTACCTAACAGGAAGGAGCCAAAGAGTTACGGTAAGGGGCGAGAAGTCGGACTGGCGAACAGTAACAAGTGGAGTACCACAAGGATCGGTGCTGGGACCAATTCTATTTCTTGTGTATGTTAACGACATGTTTACAGGCGTAGAGTCCTACATGTCGATGTTTGCGGATGATGCAAAGTTGATGAGAAGAGTTGTGACAGATGAGGATTGCAGGATCCTCCAAGAGGACCTGAACAGATTGCAGAGATGGTCAGAGAAATGGCTACTAGAATTCAACACGAGCAAATGTAAAGTTATGGAAATGGGACTAGGAGATAGGAGACCAAAGGGACAGTACACAATGAAGGGGAACAGCCTACCTGTAACGACGCGTGAAAGAGACCTGGGGGTGGACGTAACACCTAATCTATCTCCTGAGGCACATATTAATAGGATAACGACAGCAGCGTACTCTACACTGGCAAAAGTTAGAACATCATTCAGAAACCTAAGTAAGGAGGCATTTAGGGCGCTTTACACTGCCTACGTAAGGCCAGTCTTAGAGTATGCCGCCTCATCATGGAGTCCCCATCTGAAGAAGCATATAATGAAACTGGAAAAGGTTCAGAGGTTTGCAACGAGACTCGTCCCAGAGCTACGAGGGATGGGGTATGAAGAGCGCCTGAGGGAACTGTGCCTTACGACACTAGAAAGAAGAAGGGAGAGGGGGGACATGATAGGAACGTATAAGATACTCAGAGGAATTGACAGAGTGGACATAGACGAAATGTTCACACGGAATAGTAACAGAACGAGAGGACATGGATGGAAGCTTGAAACTCAGATGAGTCACAGAGATGTAAGGAAGTTTTCTTTTAGCGTGAGAGTAGTGGGGAAATGGAATGCACTTCAGGAACAGGTTGTGGAAGCAAATACTATTCATAATTTTAAAACCAGGTATGATAGGGAAATGGGACAGGAGTCATTGCTGTAAACAACCGATGCTCGAAAGGCGGGATCCAAGAGTCAATGCTCGATCCTGCAAGCACATATAGGTGAGTACATATAGGTGAGTACACACACACACACACACACACACACACACACACACACACATATACACACACAAACACAAATAGTAAATTCACACATTTCTTCAAACACAAGTAGTAAACACACACACACACACACACACACACAAATAGTAAATTCACACATTTCTTCAAACTCAAATAGTAAACACACACACACACACACACACAAATAGTAAATTCACACATTTCTTCAAACTCAAATAGTAAACACACGCACACACACAGATACACAGGAATTTAAAAAAGCCAAAGATTAAGCTGGGAACATATCAGCTCTAACACAGGAGAAACAAACAGAACAACTTCGGCAGTGAGAAATTGGCAAGTACTCGAACGGCCTTTAAAACCAAACACCCGACAGGAACATTTCCAGAACAATATACACACCTCTTGCCACAACAATATACATCAAGAATATACATCACCATTATGGAATTCCCATCTCATAAAGATAAGAATTTTTTTAGCAAGTCCTGAAGTTTGAAGTTTTTTTTTTAGGAGGTTCAGAATTTGAAACAAACTTATAAAAAGTACAAATGTTTGAAAGAAAACTTTTAGAAGTTTTTTAAAGAACTTTTTGAATGTCCCAAAGTTTAAAAGAAGGCTGATGTCAGCAGCATCAGTACTGAACCATGAAGATGTAGGTGGTAGTAAACGAGGGGGCTGTAGGTGTTAGTAAAACGAGGGGCTGCAGGTGGTAGTAAACGAGGGGGCTGCAGGTGGTAGTAAAACGAGGGGGCTGCAGGTGGTAGTAAAACGAGGGGGCTGCAGGTGGTAATAAAACAGAGGGGGCTGCAGGTGGTAGTAAAACGAGGGGCTGCAGGTGGTAGTAAAACGAGGGGGCTGTAGGTGTTAGTAAAACGAGGGGCTGCAGGTGGTAGTAAAACGAGGGGGCTGTAGGTGTTAGTAAAACGAGGGGCTGCAGGTGGTAGTAAAACGAGGGGGCTGCAGGTGGTAGTAAAACGAGGGGGCTGCAGGTGGTAGTAAAACGAGGGGCTGCAGGTGGTAATAAAACGAGGGGCTGCAGGTGGTAGTAAAACGAGGGGCTGCGGGTGGTAGTAAAACAGAGGGGCTGCAGGTGGTAGTAAAACGAGGGGCTGCAGGTGGTAGTAAAACAGAGGGGGCTGCAGGTGGTAATAAAACAGAGGGGGCTGCAGGTGGTAATAAAACAGAGGGGCTGCAGGTGGTAGTAAAACGAGGGGCTGCAGGTGGTAGTAAAACAGAGGGGCTGCAGGTTGTAGTAAAACGAGGGGCTGCAGGTGGTAGTAAAACGAGGGGCTGCAGGTGGTAATAAAACGAGGGGCTGCAGATGGTAATAAAACAGAGGGGCTGCAGGCGGTAATAAAACGAGGGGCTGCAGGCGGTAATAAAACGAGGGGCTGCAGGTGGTAGTAAAACGAGGGGCTGCAGGTGGTAATAAAACGAGGGGCTGCAGGTGGTAATAAAACAGAGGGGCTGCAGGTGGTAATAAAACAGAGGGGCTGCAGGTGGTAGTAAAACAGAGGGGCTGCAGGTGGCAGTAAAACAGAGGGGCTGCAGGTGGTAGTAAAACAGAGGGGCTGCAGGTGGTAATAAAACGAGGGGCTGCAGGTGGTAATAAAACGAGGGGCTGCAGGTGGTAATAAAACGAGGGGCTGCAGGTGGTAATAAAACGAGGGGCTGCAGGCGGTAATAAAACGAGGGGCTGCAGGTGGTAATAAAACGAGGGGCTGCAGGTGGTAATAAAACGAGGGGCTGCAGGTGGTAATAAAACAGAGGGGCTGCAGGTGGTAGTAAAACAGAGGGGCTGCAGGTGGTAGTAAAACAGAGGGGCTGCAGGTGGTAGTAAAACAGAGGGGCTGCAGGCGGTAATAAAACGAGGGGCTGCAGGTGGTAGTAAAACAGAGGGGCTGCAGGTGGTAATAAAACAGAGGGGGCTGCAGGTGGTAATAAAACAGAGGGGCTGCAGGTGGTAGTAAAACAGAGGGGCTGCAGGTGGCAGTAAAACAGAGGGGCTGCAGGTGGCAGTAAAACAGAGGGGCTGCAGGTGGTAGTAAAACGAGGGGCTGCAGGTGGTAATAAAACGAGGGGCTGCAGGTGGTAATAAAACGAGGGGCTGCAGGTGGTAGTAAAACGAGGGGCTGCAGGTGGTAGTAAAACGAGGGGGCTGCAGGTGGTAGTAAAACAGAGGGGCTGCAGGTGGCAGTAAAACAGAGGGGCTGCAGGTGGTAGTAAAACAGAGGGGCTGCAGGTGGTAGTAAAACAGAGGGGCTGCAGGTGGCAGTAAAACAGAGGGGCTGCAGGTGGTAGTAAAACAGAGGGGCTGCAGGTGGCAGTAAAACAGAGGGGCTGCAGGTGGTAGTAAAACAGAGGGGCTGCAGGTGGCAGTAAAACGAGGGGCTGCAGGTGGCAGTAAAACAGAGGGGCTGCAGGTGGCAGTAAAACAGAGGGGCTGCAGGTGGCAGTAAAACAGAGGGGCTGCAGGTGGTAGTAAAACAGAGGGGCTGCAGGTGGCAGTAAAACAGAGGGGCTGCAGGTGGCAGTAAAACAGAGGGGCTGCAGGTGGTAGTAAAACGAGGGGCTGCAGGTGGTAGTAAAACAGAGGGGCTGCAGGTGGCAGTAAAACGAGGGGCTGCAGGTGGTAATAAAACGAGGGGCTGCAGGTGGTAATAAAACGAGGGGCTGCAGGTGGTAGTAAAACGAGGGGCTGCAGGTGGTAGTAAAACAGAGGGGCTGCAGGTGGTAATAAAACGAGGGGCTGCAGGTGGTAGTAAAACAGAGGGGCTGCAGGTGGTAATAAAACGAGGGGGCTGCAGGTGGTAATAAAACAGAGGGGCTGCAGGTGGTAATAAAACGAGGGGGCTGCAGGTGGTAGTAAAACAGAGGGGCTGCAGGCGGTAATAAAACGAGGGGCTGCAGGTGGTAGTAAAACAGAGGGCCTGCAGGCGGTAATAAAACGAGGGGCTGCAGGTGGTAGTAAAACAGAGGGGCTGCAGGTGGTAATAAAACGAGGGGGCTGCAGGTGGTAATAAAACGAGGGGCTGCAGGTGGTAGTAAAACAGAGGGGCTGCAGGTGGTAATAAAACAGAGGGGCTGCAGGTGGTAGTAAAACGAGGGGCTGCAGGTGGTAATAAAACAGAGGGGCTGCAGGTGGTAGTAAAACGAGGGGCTGCAGGTGGTAGTAAAACGAGGGGCTGCAGGTGGTAATAAAACGAGGGGCTGCAGGAGGTAATAAAACAGAGGGGCTGCAGGTGGTAATAAAACGAGGGGCTGCAGGTGGTAATAAAACGAGGGGGCTGCAGGTGGTAGTAAAACAGAAGGGCTGCAGGTGGTAATAAAACGAGGGGGCTGCAGGTGGTAATAAAACGAGGGGCTGCAGGTGGTAATAAAACGAGGGGCTGCAGGTGGTAATAAAACAGAGGGGCTGCAGGTGGTAGTAAAACAGAGGGGCTGCAGGTGTTAATAAAACGAGGGGCTGCAGGTGGTAATAAAACGAGGGGCTGCAGGTGGTAATAAAACGAGGGGCTGCAGGTGGTAGTAAAACGAGGGAATACAAATCGAAGTTTAAATACAATCGAGTTCGACAGTTATGAGAAAGTTCTCACATGCTAAACAAATATAACAACTTTTCTTTCGTTAGAAAATATTAAACAGAAAGCCTCTTACAGGTGAAAGTTGTTAATGTAATGGGAGAATGAAACGTCCAAAACGTGTTTAATTGTATGCAGTAATACGATATGCAAATACCATTATGCGAAAATTTCACTGAGAGACATTTTTGTTTTTAAATCCATGTTGCGAAGCTGTCGCGATATAACATTGCTGTATGGAAGCAATGACCTCCATACAGACGCTCTATTTCCACAGTGAAAACTGATTAGACATGATCTCGATGGCTCCCTTTTGCAGCTGAGTGAAATCTACCAGTGGATCGCCACCAAGTTTCCCTTCTACGCCCAGCAGAACGCCAAGGAGAAGCAGGGCTGGAAGAACTCCATCAGACACAACCTGAGCCTGAACGAGTGCTTCGTCAAGATCCCCAGAGAGGGAGGCGGAGGCGGTGGCAAAGGAAATTACTGGACGCTAGGTAGGTTCTTTGGATCAGTGAGTCGCACGGTTTCTTTGATTCAATTAGTGTTATGCCGTCAGTGAGTGGTTAGGTTATGCCGTCAGTGAGTGGTTAGGTTATGCCGTCAGTGAGTGGTTAGGTTATGCCGTCAGTAAGTAGGTTACGTCTGTCTACAAATGGTAAGGTGTGACAGTAGATGAGTTGAAGGTAGATGCAATTTGCTAGAGTGGAAGATAGGTATTGCTTCATTTGAATGGAAGGTTAGTGCAAGCTGCCACTGGGTCGAAGGTGGCCACTTCCTGCCATAGCGTAAAAGGTAAACCCTGTCTTTCAAATAGTGCAAGACAAACACTAGCACTCATGAGTGAGAAGGAGGTATTATCAAAAACCACAATGGCCAGAGCGCTCTGGCCAGGAGGTGATAGTGACTGAGAGCTCCTGACTAATGTGAGGATCTCTGTCTGCCGCCCACAGACCCGCAGCACGAGGACATGTTCGAGCACGGGAACTACAAGCGTCGTCGGAGGATGAAGCGACCTAACAACATGTACCGCCACGCCTACACCTATCCTGACTACCTTGGGCTCACCTCCAGGGCTTTCTTCCCGCCCTCTCCGTGAGTACCGCCTTCAGTTACCACTTGATAAGAGTCCAGAACGGACGTTAAACGTTATCACTTTCATGTCTTATGTGTGTTTTGGGTTATTTATTTATTTACATAGTGTTCAGTCTTGCGTTCTGATGCCTCGTTTATTGTGTGATCAAGGTCTGCTCCTCTTTGTTGGACCAGTAATCTCATGCCCAGCGATGGTCATTTTCTCTTTTTCTAGACTGGGAATGGTGTATTTAAATCCTGTTACCAGCGTGTGCTGTGTTAAGCTCTGAAGATTGTCTTAAGTGTTTTGTGTTTTCGATACTCGTATTTTATTTTGGTGCTTGTGTTGCACTTAATTAATATGTTCTGGAGGTGAGTTTTGTGGTAATTTGTTATGGTGTTCTCTGGCAGATACTATTGTTCTTCGGGTTGGTCCCCCCCTCCCCCCCCCCCCCGAAGTATCTGATCCTATGATCTTATGTACATTAGGCGTCGTGTTCTGCCACCAGAGAACGGCGTTTAGTGCTAAACTTGCTGCGGGATTTACGTGTTGTGCTTCACGTAAACACTATAACATTCTTCCCTTCCCACACACGCCGTTCTCTCCAATTGCCTCTCCTAAAAAAAATCAACTGTTTTGCCTAAACGTACGAACCTAAGCATCCCACCATACCCATCGAAGCCGATGCATAGAAAACGTCAATATTACAGTATTAATGTTACTGATAATTATCAGTATTAAGAAGATGAATGGAGGAGTTGACCCATGAGTTCCCAGCATGCCAGAGCCTGCGACTGTTGTCTTAGGTTATTCTTGAGTGACATTCTTGATGGTGAGATGTAGTAGAAGTATACACACAGGTGCCAGAGGCGTAAACAAAGTGGGTATCAATAATCAGAGATAAAACAGATGTGTCGTGTTCACCAGGCTAGCTCCAAGTACCCACTGACGTGTTCAATAATCATTGTTGATACCCCCCCCCCGAATACCCTGGGGGTATAGCGAAAGCACATTCGCCCCGCGACTCACGACAGAGTTAATCTGGGTTCGAGCCTTGACACGGGAGAATTGACTAGACGCCAATCCTCAACTAGCGGCCCTTGTTCACCCAGCAGCAATAGGGAACCTGGTTGTAAGTTGATTGGTGGCTCGTGTTCCAGGGAAAACTAGCACGGTAAGGCTTACCATGAGCTATGCAAACAGGAATTAGAAGGTGTCTAATCCTGTACCCACCTGCTCAGACTCAGATGGTGTTCTCGGTAACATTTAGAGCACGATATAGTTAACTGGGGATGTAAAACGTATGGTAAAAATATTCCAAGCTGAGAGTGACCTCAGCAAGTGGACACAACATGGATAGGAGCCTCGGCTGAATTGTTTTATTCTTAAAGTTTTGCTTTTCCTATGGAGCTGATCGAGTGGGCTGAGTGACCAACTCACGATAGTGAGGTCACGAGTTCGAATCTTTGACACACACACATTATATATATATATATATATATATATATATATATATATATATATATATATATATATATATATATATATATATATATATATATATATATATATATATTGTTAAATATGACCGAAAAGGTAAGATTAATAATTCTAACACGAATTTTCTCAATATTTCTTATGTTTTTCTTCACTGTAGGTGGTAATAAATGAAGACAGTGAAGAAAAACATAAGAAATATTGAGAAAATTCGTGTTAGAATTATTAATCTTACCTTTTCGGTCATATTCAACAACATATGTTTACAAGAAAGACTGCTACCAAAATATACTAATATATATATATATATATATATATATATATATATATATATATATATATATATATATATATATTAGTATATTTTGGTAGCAGTCTTTCCTGTAGACATATATATATATATATATATATATATATATATATATATATATATATATATATATATATATATATATATATATATATATATATATATATATATATTCAAATACAAATGCTGCAGTTATACTCCGGTGAGAAGAGGGCTAACAAGAACATTTTGGAAGACACCACAGACACCTTCAGGAAATAATAAGTTCAAATCCCGTTTTTCACCATCTACTAAATATTCGTTATTAAATTTAACCTTACACCCAAGATATTATAAACACATTGTGTTGTGTTTTCAATGTGCTTGCCTAAGATTTATACTAAGCAACTCGCGCCCAGGCGACTTTACGAGAGCAGCAAAAATATTAAGTTGGCGTGCAATGGGTTGTTGAGTGTTAAAACATTGTGTTATCGTGTTCGCACGGTGCTTATACCGGGGCGCAGCGTACCAGCGCTTGTGTTATGAGATACAAAGGCAGAATATGCTGAGCTCAGACCCGGTTTCAACAAGATGCCTCAATGCTAACCTCGCTTTTCAAATTCCGGGATCTTTATACAACTAGGATGAACAGCAACATACTATCGGTGGCCTATATACATAAGAGGGGGGAATATATAGGTTTCTTAAAGGGGGTACAGCTTAAACCTTTGTTTTTAAAACAAAAACTGTGGTGTGAGCAAAGTTACGGAGAAGTGATGTGGTGAAATGTCAAATCTCCAGCAACAAGCGCCCCCCTTGTTTGGAAACTCCAGCACGGTGCTCAATGTGAACCTTGACGTCCTCAGGGAGGCTTGATCTCCACCTCGGAGTTCAAGGTTGACCTTGTCGTCCTCAGGAAGGCCTCATGTCCACCTCGGATGTCAAGGTTTACTTTGTCACCCACCAAAAGGGATCTAACTCCACCTTAGAGTTCAAGATTGATCTAGGCACTATTTTCGTACACAGGTGGATATAGGAACAGCCGACTTTGGACTCTTGTTAACAGGCTGAGAGCTTTCTCATCCATTAGCTCATGGTAAGCCTTATCCACTAGTTTTCTCTGGAATACGACTGTCAATCGATTAACAACTGGGTACCCAATTACTGCTGGGTGAAGAGGCGAACAGTTAACGATTAGTGCCTAGTCAATCCTCCCTACCTAGGACTCGAACCCAGGACAAAATCGCTCGCGACACGTGGGGCGAATGTTACTAATATTTCCTTGCAACCTGCAATGATTTTGCATAGCTTATAAATTAAGCTTTATATCCGAGAGGGCAAAGTATATTCTCACAAACTATATATATTTAGATATGTTTGGGAGCTCCAGTATACACTTGCAAGTACACTCCAGCACAGAGGACCCCGATCATAAATGTGTCGTTTAGGAGCTGTTTATCATCAAAGTTGATTGCAGTTATTATTGTTTTTAATATGTTCCCTTTTCATTATTCATCTTCTTGTTTCTTGTCTTCGGTGGTATTTGTATTATGTTACTTCTGTGGCGTTTCTGTGACTTCTCCACATCGTCTTCGGAGCTGACCTTTGACATTCTCTATCTCTCTGACCCGAGCTTGACCTTTCTCGCTATTTTCGTTTCCTCTATCTTTTTTATTCTTTTGTAAGGCCTTATTTGCTTCTTGTCTTCCTTGTCTTTCATTCTCTCCAGTCTTCATTGTTCCGTCCCCTTCTTCATAGATTATACCTCTTCCTTATATCTCCTTGCTTCCCCTCTCTCACCTCTTATTGTCTCCCTAACTGTGTCTGCGTACAAGTGACGGGATGAACAACCCAGCGGGTTTTCTTCCTATTGGGGAGTGTTGTACATGCTGCTATGGCGGTGTGTCCACTCACAAGATGAGTGGCGCTGCCCAATAAACTCGCCCCTCGGGGCAAAATTAAAAAAAAATAAATAAAAAATCTTCCTTGTCTTTCCTTGCTTCCCCTCTCTGACCTCCTATTTATCTCTCCTTGCTTTATCACTCGACCCCTTTTATCGTCCCTTCTTCCTCCCTCTTCCACCTGACAGTAGACGTCGCAGGGTCGGAGACAGCCAGAGGTGACGGTTACAGAGTGCCCATCCATCTCCCATTCCTCTCCCCCCTCCGTTCCTCTCCCATACCGTTCGATCTTCCATTCTGCTTCACCAATCTCCCGTCTCACGTTCATTTACTCTCCATCCGTTCTATGCCCTCTCCCTTGGCCTGGACAGGGACCAGGGTTTGTTTCTCGATCTCATCCACCTCAAAATTTGGACAATAATCATTGCGTAAATGTATAACGAATATTTGCGCCAGACCTGAAATATATTAATAGACATTTGTTCATCGATGTTCAGGAACAGTGAATGCCCGGCTTGGTCTCTCTGTGTGGTTCTCGCAGCTTTCTTTGTGGTCTGCCACTACTTGTCAAATGGACATTCCCTCAATCACTATTTGCTCGACTGTGATAAGTGCCAGTAGGCCAAAATTTAAGTTTCAAAATGGCACCGTATCAGTGGCAGCCCAATTTCTGATATCAAATTTCTGATACATAAGATTTGACTTACTCTAACACTACTAATTCCCATTAAATGAATAGAAAATTAAATAAAGTAACAAAAATCTGTGAAATCAGGAAAAAATAATAATAATAATTATTGTTATTGTTATTATTATTATTATAAACCAACAGGTAATTAAGTATCTACAATCCAGCATAAGACTGTGCTGGATTAACACTTATCAAAGCTCTGTTTCGTAAGGAAAATTCAACCGTATATTAATAACAACCATAAATTTTAAATAAAGTAGACACATAGAACTATGAAACTAACGATGATGCTGTATTTTTGGAAGCAGAGGAAGAATTTTCACACATTTTCTCGTGTGGTTAAAATGTTCTCGTGTTAAGAGGCATTTACATCGACTCGAGACATTTTTTGTTTGGATTTAAGCGAGAACTTGATCCACCAAGTGAAGCAAATGTCTAAGTTTACCAAGCTGGAGTGGAGGCTTGAGAGGCTGTGTGTTCTGTGTGTGTCTTTTAAACAAAACAAACAATTTTGACAATTAAACTGACTCTGTTAGAGCAGTAAATCTTTGTTTTGATTATCTTAACGTAAGCTGAAAACCAAGTAACTAATGCAGTCCTTACTAGTCTGGTTTGCCCGCTGGTGGAAACCTGTGACTAACA